AAACAATGATTCTCTAAATAATATATTTGAAATTTATCCCGCAAACACTAAGCTATTGGCTTTGTGACTTGTTAATTGTCATTGCGACCAGTCGGAATCATTGGTATGTCACCAAATCGCCAGCAATTTTTGATTGAATGGTGAAATTCAGTGCGTGTACATTATTATTCTTGACGGCAAGAATTGCTCGTTGGCTTAACCAAGCATAATTCTGATAATTCTCACTAATGTCATTACTCGAATTTTTAATTACGGTGCGTGAAGTTCCAGCAATTTGCATTAGGGCACGATGCCACGCACCATTAATTTTCACAGCTATAAATCTTGCAGAACCCGAGACCTTTCCAACGAATGCAAAATTGTCGAAATCGGTTCGTGCGTTCTGGGGTTATATCGTGAGGAAGGAAAACCCGACTTATTTTTATACATATGTAGATAATTTTTGTATATTCTAAAAGAATAGTGAAAATATGAAATGGCAATTTAATAGAGCTTGATTAAAATACTATTAACAAAACAGTGAATTTACTTATTTTTCTCTTAATGAATACAGTAGCCAATGGTTGTCATTGCGTTTGTTTATGGTTTTATTGTTTAATAACTTCAGGCACCCTTTTCTAGTCTCCAGAATGAATCTCAACAGCAACCCTCATGTGGACGATCAAACCCGAAACGAACAATTGCTTCTTCCAAGTTCAAGTGTTAACATTGAATGTTCATTAAAATATATCCTGATGAGTTAATTTATTAATTAATTCGATTCATATCGATGATGTGCCGATTGTGTTTAGTTTAATGTGTTTTGGTGCAATGTCATGGCACAACAGCGCATGGGACCGGCACCGTTCGCGTCCTTCGAAGATCTCTCTGATGAGGTGAGAATAAAAAAAGTATGTTGGACAGCACTATCATTCATATACACATTCATTTGTCATTCATATTTAAGGTAAACGTACCATATTACGGGATGTACCATATTACATTCATTGGTCACTCATAATTAAGGTAAATGTACCATATTACGGGATGTTAAGGAACATTTGACTTTACAGACGAATTTTAGAGAAAATATGAAAGTAGACGAACTAAATCTGTTATATTTTATTAATTAGACCTTTAAGATTATTATAAAACAAGATTTTTCGTCGTAGAACGTCATTTACAGAAATTATCGGCATTTTGCTGAACTACGCGTCTGTCCCTAATTCCGTGATAAAATTCGCCCGGTGAACATAATGCCGGGAGTCGTTGTACACTATTCTGTGATAGCGTTCGAAGCATACATTTTTGATCGTAAAATAAATATAGTTGAATATATGGAATGCAATACCGATGGAAAATTTCAATACCGGTATTTCGGTAATTTTTCATTTTAAAACCGGAATAACGGTAAATTACCGGTATTTTTATTATCTTACACAAACGTAAACAAAATTCAAAGTTACTAGTACAAATATAAAACAATGTCTATACAACTACAACTATATTCAACTAAACAATAAAATAACACAATAAGTTATTTTTTTATATAATAATTTAACAAAATTATATCGAATTTAATTAATTCATTATCACTACCGAGTCTATTGAGTACTTTTCATAAAAAACAAATTTATGAGTAAGAAAGACCAAAAACTCATTAAAGATCATTATTATTATAACTACATTATTATAATGAACTGTATTGTCTGTATCCGATGTGTTAAATTAGCATAATCTCCAATATTTTAAAAAAATATAATTGTTGAGTATTGTTATTTAAAACAGTGTGATACTTCAATAGTATTTTCAAACTTCGAAACGTTTTCGAAAAATAATATTTTATAATTGTAATAAGAAGCAAAAATATTTATCTTTTAGTAATAATAATTATCATAATTATTATGTATAAAGTTTGAAAAAAAAGATTACGCAGGAGTAATCTGTATGATATAAAATATTTTGGCGTAAATATCACTTAAAAAACTGTTACATTTCCACATAAGATGAAACAAACACTATTATCTATCAGTCCAATTCTATTTATTGTAACACCATATGAAGTCCTTTGGAAAGCAATAAATATTCAGTTTTAATGACGAGTTGAGATAATATTTGACATTGGTTTATCCTATAGAATCACTTGAAGATATAGCTGTTTATGCAATTATGGAATTTAAAGATAAATTTGTTCCGAGAAATTTAAACTTTAGGGTACGGTATACCGGTATACTGGTATTGCATTCCCTAGTTACGACCAATGCTTTCAAAAGCTTTTTACGGCTTTAAAAACTAATATTTAAATTCGGAAATCGTACTATTTTATTAGGATTCAAATTATAATTGATGTGCTATTGAATAAAATTATTATTTATTGACCGTTTTCTTATTTTGCGATCAAAATGAAAAACTCCCGTAATAATGTACTATCCTGGAATAGTGTACATTTACCTTAAGGGGCACAACTAGTGTAACCGCCTAAAAAAAAGATGATTTTTGAGAATTTATATTTAAAAAACTACTTTATCAATCGTTTCAAAATTCTGGGAATATATTTATACATGTTTTGAGAATACATAGTAAAATTCTTGAAGAAAAAAATTAAATATTTTTTAAGTTATCGTCGATCTCCAACGGCGCGACAAAAAAAAGGCCCTTCACTGCTGCAGTGATTCCTGCCTTCTACGTGGATGAAATTTAAAAAATACAAAATTCTTGTTAAACTAGATAATATTGTCTGTAAAATGACCTATGATAAAAAAAAATCAAAAATTGACAAAATGGCGGCGTTTTTTAAAAAAAAAGTCGAATTTTACCCAAAGTTTTGGTCCAAAAATTCGATTTTTGATCCGATCAAAAAATCGATAGTTCATTTTACGAAGAACTATACATAGAACATGTAAAAAAAATTCGATAGTGATCGGATCATTTGTTTTTGAGTAATCACTGCAGCAAATTCGGATTATGCTGTTTCGAGAAAAACGCGTTTAAAGATTAAATGATCGTTATACTATATACTATAAATATACTCTTTAAAAGGCTGTAACTCAAAAACTATTTAAGATATCGATTTAAAATTTTGGTATGTTATTTTTAAAGGTATAACCTATCGAAATATGAAAAAATTGAAAATTCGATTTTTTGAAAATTTCACACTAGTTGTGCCCCTTAACTCCTCTAGAATGCCATTCAGTAGTGTTTCATCTAACCTTTACTATTTCCTTGCAGCTGCCGGAAAGCCCGGAAAGTCAATCGTCTCGTTTGCCCGGCATCACGGAGCACGTTTTAGCATCCCACGATTTCGACCCTTCCCATCCCTTTTCAGCCCTCACCAGGCCCCCTGACCCCCAGCAAACACCCACAGACCCCGATCAGACCCCAACTGACCCAGATCAACAGTCCACGTTCCATGCTCAAATTTCCAAAGCGGAATTGTATTCGCATTCGTACGATCCCAGATTTCCGCAGAATTTTTATCCGTCCACTTTCCTAACAGATAGAGAGAAAAAAGGCGGCGAGAGCGATAGTGGTGGTTCGCCTGTGGCTACTTTCCAAAGTTTTCGAGGTAAAGGTAATAATGTTCCGACGAGTCCTAGGGAAAGGGTTGTGGTGAGTCCTAGACAAGGTGCTGTTAGTCCTAGTCCGAGACAAGGTACGATAAGTTTGCGAGAAGGTGCAATTACTTTGACCGAAGAAGTTGTCAGAGCTGCCAGTCCGAGACCTTGCGATGATGTACGAGACACTAGTAAAATCACATTTCAAACTTTTAGACCTGCTAATAAATCTCCGCAAAAAGACGTTCCTTTGACGCACCAACAGACTGAATATCAAAATCCACAAAAACTAGCTAGAAACTTGGCTGAAGAAGCAATAGCAGCAACACACGCCGGTTTGTCACACCAGATTTGCACTTTTCCTGCAAGAAGCAGCGAGGCTAAGAAAAACTCTACGTCGAAATCTACAAGTCCTGAAGACTCTACAAGAAATTTTGATGTCATCCAGCAAAAAATTGCAAAGTCTTTAGCTGAAGAAGCGATTGCTGCTACACATGCTGGCTTGAGCCATCAAATCAGCACGTTCCACAAACGAAATAACGAAACCAAAAAGGTAAAAAATACAGCACCAGATACTGATATTCCCGATGATGGTGTCCAACAGAAACTAGCAAAATCTTTAGCAGAAGAAGCAATAGCAGCAGCTTTTAATAAAAATAAAACAACCGAAGACATTACTTTAGGTGATCCCGAGAAGTCTCCACTCCTGATTCACCATAGACCACCTTTGGCAACCCAAGGGGCGGTCAGTTTGGCACCAAGAATAGATATTTCTAGAGCCAGCAGTTCTTCAAGGGAACACGATAGCAAGGACAGTGGTACCGAAGCTGAATTGGAGGAAAATATTGATGACTACACGATTGCTGGACCAAAAAGTGAATCCAAAAGCAAAGGTAGTTAAAAATTACATACATATATTGTTACTAACATATTGTAATTTTGGATTTTTGTGTTGTAGGAAGAAGTGCTTCAGTGAGTGCTGTATCGTCCTTAGGATTTCGTGAAGAAGGTGCCTTGGATTTGAGATCAAGTACTGAAGAACTTGACTTTTTTGGGACCTGGTGCCAAACCAGTCGAGGAACCGAGGAGAGAATCACAGTGTTCTGAGGTAACAAACAAACTAGTATAGTCATCAATTTATTACTAATATCTTTTTATTTTCTAGGTCGTCCTCCTCTGTATATCAGGGCGCACAAGTCGTGTCTCCAGTCTAAGTTCTGCAGGAGGCGCAAGGACTCCTTCACCACATTCCTTACTCCTAGAAACATCTTTTTGTGGCACAGGATCGCCTGCAGCTGGGGGAGTTGCTGTGGCAGACGTAGAGACTGGCGGAACTCCTTTGAGGAGAGCCCAAAACGCTGCTGGAAGTGCCGTTAGTGAAGCCGAAAAAGTTTTACTTGCCAGAGGAACTGATCCTACAGAAGCTGTACTGGCTGAAGGGTTCAGGTAGGAATAGATTGGTGGTAGATGGATGGTGGATATAGTGATGATGGTTTGTATTTTTGCAGGTTGCCAGGTATGAAGGGTAAATGCAAAACGAATGGACAGGTTATGGGTGGTACTGGTGTTGTTAGTAAGCAGCCTAGGAGCACTGGAGCAGTATCGGCTACGACTGCTCCGAAAACGATGCCACTTATCTCTACTAAAGACGAGGTCAAAGGGAATGGTCATGTCGCTAGAAATGGAACTGCGCCTAAAGATGTAAGTAGATAGTATATAGGGAATGCAATACCGATGGATAATTTCAATACCGGCATTTCGGTAATTTTTCATTTTAACACCGGAATACCTTAAACAAACGTGAACAAAATCCAAAGTTACTAGTACAACTATAAAAAAATGTCTATACAACTACAACTATATTCAACCAAACAATAAAATAAAACAACAATTTTATTTTTTTAAATAATAATTTAACAAAATTATATCCAATTTAATTAATTCCTTATCACTATCAAGTATATTGAGTACTTTTCACCAAAAACAAACGTATGAGTAAGAAAGACCAAAAACTCATAAAAGATCATATTACATTATTATAATAAACTATATTGTCTGTATCCGATGTGTTAAATTAGCATAATATCCAATATTGTAAAAAAATAATTTTTCTACACTAATTTAAGATCGGATACTTTGTCGAGATAAATAATAAGTTACTATAATTGTTGAGTATTGTTATTTAAAACAATGTGATGCTTCCATAGTATTTTTAAACTTCGAAACGTTGTCGAAAAATAATATTTTGTAATTTTAATAAGAAGCAAAAGTATTTAGTAATGTTCATAATTATCTTCAATAGATATAAAAATAAGTCGGGTTTTCCTTCCTGACGATTTAACTCCAGAACGCACGAACCGATTTCGACAATTTTGCATTCGTTGGAAAGGTCTCGAGCTTTGGTGCATGGCATCGTGCCTTAATGCAAATTGCCGGAACTTCACGCACCGTAATTAAAAATTCGAGTAATGACATTAGTGAGAATTATCAGAATTATGCTTGGTTAAGTCAACGAGCAATTCTTGCCGCAAAGAATAATGATGTACACGCACTGAATTTCACCATTCAATCAAAAATTGCTGGCGATTTGGTGACATACCAATGATTCCGACTGGTCTTCCGTTTGACTTCAAACGAATGCAATTTCCAGTTCGAATTGCGTTCGCAATAACAAGTCGCAAGGCCAATCGCTTAGTGTTTATAATAGAATAAATTTCAAATAGATTATTTAGAAAATCATTGTTTTTTACATGCGCAGTTATACGTTGCCTGTTCACGAGTTGGAAAACCATCTGCTTTGTTTGTGTTAACGTCAGACCAAAAAACAAAAAATGTGGTTTACCAAAGAGCACTTCAATGAAACGGATAATTTGCGGATTCACTTTCATTTACTTAGAGAAGTTTAACTAAAAAACACTTCATTTTTGTAATCGAAATAAATTCATTACTGTTGTATAATAAAATCAAATTTTTTTCTTTTCAAATATAAAACAAACAAAAAAAATTCTTCATTTTTCTCACGAAACCATCTAGTGGCGAAACGGAGTTCGTCGGGTTTGCTAGTTATGTATAAAGTTAGAAAAAAATAAAGATTACGCAGAGGTAATGTGTATGATATAAAATATTTTGACGCAAATATCACTTAAAAAACCGTTACATTTTTACATTAGATAAAACAAACATCATAATCCTTCAGTCCAATTCTATTTATTGTAACACGATATGAAGCCCTTTGGAAAACAATAAATATTCAGTTTAATGACGAGTTGAAATAATTTTTGACATTTGTTTACCCTATAGAATCACTTGAAGATATAGCTGTTTATGCGATTATGGAATTTAAAGATAAATTTCATACGAGAAATTTAAATTTTAGTGTATTATGTATCAAATAGCGCTTATGTAAAAATACCGAAAATACCGGGGTAAATACCGGTAAAATTACCGCCGAAAAATTGGGCGGTTTACCGGTATACCGGTATACCGGCATTGCATTCCCTAATAGTATATATTTACTTTGCAATTAATTGCTAAGATGTTAATTTATTTTAGCGTGCCATAACTACTGCACCGAAACCTCGAAAAACAGCACAAGCTGACATGCAGGATCACACGAGTCAACAACAAAGTTCAGATTACATCAGGATACGTTTAAAACCCGCACATATGTAAGTAACTGATTGATGCATTTGTATATATAAATGTAATAATAAATAATAATTTATAATTTATCCTTTCCTAGGTATTCTGACGAAGACGACTCCGTACCCATCGAACCAGCCCCTCCGTCCGTCAAACCAGTGACTTTAGATCTACGTCAATCCGATGACACGATTCACAAGCACCCTGATCAGAAATCGTTCAAACCTGCATCTGGTCACAAACCACAGAATAGGTCACCATCGCCATCACCAGCCTCGGCTTCCAGAAAGAGTTCTTTCTGCTCGTTGTTCAAATCGAAAGAGACCATAAGTCAACCAGATTCGCCGCGAATCAAGGCGACCGATAAATCTGGTTCGGTTCTGTCTTTGTTTAGACCGAGAGCCAAGTCGAAAAGTAAATCTCCGGTTGTTGAACACAGACACAGACAAATGGTAAGGATAAAAGACACAATTTAGTTTAAGGGGTTGTTTTAAAAAAAAAAAATGCAAGGTATTTGTTATTGTTTTTCTCGAAATGTATTTATCATAGAGACATGCGGTTTTTTTAAACAAAAATTACAAAATCATAGAATACTAGCTGACCCGGCAAACGTTATTTTGCTAAGTAAGGTATATTCAAAACAATTTCTAGAGAATAAAAAAAAAAATATTTTTAGTGTATAAGTCTGCGTTGTTTGAATGCTATATACAATGAGGTATTATAAAAACAATAAACCCCATTAGTTTGTCTAAATTTTGTCAATACAATCAAACTGGAAGTTTCATACACTTTCTATAGAAAACATGGTATAATCCAATCCAAGTCTTTTTTGGTATTTCGACTTATTGATTACGTTTTAAGCTTTTCAGATTCTTTTGGATTCTGGATTACTCAAGAAGGCTGGACAGATTTAATTGGTTCTTGGTTCTATATATATATATATATATATATATATATATATATATATATATATATACAACCAAGAACTAATATTCTATCACTATATTCAACATAAGGTAGTCGAGTAATTTCAATTAGGCCTTTTTATTGTCCAATCAAAGCACATTTTCGGATAATATGTATGCAAATTAGTTGTAAACACCTGAAACATTTTATAAGATATGTATAAAGAAATTATAAATTAACAACAATTAATATATAACTATTTACATTTTTATTACAAATTTTGAGGTTATGTTAAGAAACTTTATTTTTATTTATTTGTTGATGATTATACTTATCGCTGATATTTAGAATATGAAAATCTCAAATACTCTATTTAAATACGTATAAACAAATATACGTAAGTATCAAGTATATAAAAAATAATTACATTCCCATTGCCGAGAAATTAATTTCTCTATCGTCCATATGGCATCGCTTGCTATCATTAAGAATTAATTTACTTGCCACTTCGTAATAATTTTCCGTGGTTATTAAAATTTTTTGAAAATAAATATCATAAATTAAATGGATAGTTTATAAATAATTAATTTTGAATTGGAATGAAAATTGGGACAAAAAGTATCACATATATTTCTCCTGGTTCTAAACTACCTCCCTGCCAATTTTCATCTAAATCGGTTCAGCCGTTCGTGAGTTATAAGTGTTCTAACTTAAGCGATCCTCTTTTATATATATAGATTACGAAATTTTCTTTTTTTTTGCTGTCATTTTGTAACCAGAGGCCGCCAAAGTCGGCCTTGCAACATCTATCTCTTTTGCGATCCGACATGCAGTTTTTTTTTTAATTTGTGGCTTAATTTTTTAATTTGAAAAAAGTCAATTTGAGAAAAACGTATTTAAAGTTTTTAATATAATGTACTAAATACACCATTTAATTTAATGTACTAAATACATTATGATGTTCAAAGATGCTGACACATTAAAAAGGTCACGTGCATGAGGTATTATAATGAAAAAGAGAGCAGCTGGCATACAATAGCTCCGGAGCGATGAAAAAAACTTCGTCAAAAAAATAGATATTGACACGATTTTTTTTTAAATCTAAGGTTTTTAGTTTTTATAATATCAAAAAATCTCAAAATCGAAAAAAAATAAATAAAAACCAAACAACCCTTTTTACTTTATAACCAATTTGGTTTTTATCATTTATTTTTAGGTGCCTGTACAGAAAGAACCCGAAGAACCTGTCTACATCCGAATACCTCTCCACACCCCGACCGAAGAAGATCTAAAGTCCGGTGTCATAGGCACCAGACAAGATTTGGAGAAAGTTTTTGGCCGTGAAGTCAACAGACCAAGTGACATTCCATCCAATCGATCCAGAAAACCTAGTGACGAAGGATCTTCTAGAAATGTCAGGGTACAGAAAAAATCACCGCCGTCTGATGGTATCAGAATACCTCTCCATGGACCGCCGGTAAAACAAGAAGACATTATGAAAGTTTTTGAGAGTTGTTCGCGACCAAAGAATGACGATTCGATGAAACTGAAAAGTGACAGTGTAAGAATTCCAGTGCGTACTATGACACCAGAAGATTTATCAGGGCTTGTGGACACCAGGAAGATTGATTTTGATAAATCGAAGGATTATATACATATTTCTTTGCATACGCCGCCGCATGAAAAACCTGCAGATTGTTTTACCAAAGTTAAAATTGCTGATGGTAAAAAAGTGGTGAAGGCGCATAAAGGCGAAAGCAATACTCCCAAGTTGCAAAAAACGGATAGAATCGATGATTCGAGACCTAAAGAAGTTCCTAAAAAGCAATCCAAGTGTAGAAGGATACCGTTACCTGATGGTAGTATTAGGATTCCTTTACGTTCACCCAGTGATGAAGAAGTCCCTGAACAAGCTGCTGAAGTTTCTAAGAATTTTGAACCAGAACCAGAAAAACCGGAGATAAATTTTGATGAAGTGATTAAACAAGTTAAAGAAATCCAACTGAAATCTGATTTAAGTAGGCAAAGTGATAAAAAAGTGGAGGAAAAAGTTAGTTCACCTCAGGAAGAGAAGAAAAAAACAAAAAAACGTTTAGTCTTCACTACAAAATTAGGCAGTCGCGAGGAACAAGTTTTCAGCACCCAGTTCAGTTTGAGCAAAACCGAGAGCCAATGTAGTCAACCAGCGTCTCCAGAAGACCAAAAAGCTTCTACTGAACCATCAATTCCACCAGAAGAAACAAAAGTAGCTTCACCACCCAAAGTAGCCGCAAAACCTGCACGCAAAATGTTTTTATCCAAACGCACCCTCGCCCAACAAATTTTAGACTACGAACGCGATCGTGTTAAAACCGAAGACGAACTTTTGGAAGCGAAACCGAGTGAAACTGTCTCTAAACCTGCAGTGCATGAATTTAGTGATGTAGTTAATAAAATTAGTGAAACGCTACCTCAACAAGTGGTTAGTGAACCTTTATTTACAAAACAAGAGATTGTTAAGGATACTGCAGATGTTGTGGTGCATAATGGTGGTAGGAAGAAGGAATTTGTCAAAACCGATTCGTTTCAGCAAGCTATGAGGACGACTCCTGATGATGAACAGAGAAGCCTAAGGTAAATTGATAAAGGTTTATTTATTTATTAACTACCCGTAGGGTAAGTTATTGTAAGGGGCCGAAAATCGAAATTGAAAATTTTTACATTTCTCGACATTTTGAAGGTTTCTGAACATGTTGGCATACCTAAGAAAAAATGGATGTGTGTGTGTATGTATGTATGGATACAATTTTTCGTCCACGTTTTCGGGCGCACGGATCAACCGATTTGAATGGTTCAAAAAACATTCGATTCCTATTGATAGGGAGATGTGCTGATTAGTTTTTGGCAAAGGCAGGTCCAGCCGTTACGGAGATACGGAGCAAAGAGTGCAGAAAATAGAAATCGAGTTTTTGAGTGAACGAAGCATCCGATTTGAATGATTTAGAAAACATTTAATTAGTAATGATTGGGAGAAGCAATGGCAGGCCCAGCCATTTCGAAGATACAGAGCTAAATGTGCAAAAAATGGCAGTTTTTGAGAGAACTATGCGTCCAATTTAAATGATTCAAAGAACTTTCAGCTTATTTTAACAAAATAATTGATTTTGGAAAAAAAAATTGTTTTTATGTATATCGAAAATAATTCAGACTTTATTTTTAATTCCGACTAAAGTTCTAATATACTTTAAAAAAATAATTTTAACGTTTCAATTCAGTTTATATAATTCTTATAAATATTAGACAATGTTACAATATGAATAATAATCTATTTGAAAACATTAAGTATTCCTCGAACATTTCGTTACGATACGGAAAGTTCCAGCAATTTGCCTTAAGGCACGATGCCATATACCCCACTAGTTTTTTTTGCATAGTTTTATTGCAATTTTATATTCAAAATAATATACTATAATATATAATAGTTTTATTTTATAATCAAAATAATATACATATTTTAAGACAATATGATGTTGGTGTTAATGCATTTAAGAGATTATCTCCTATGAGATATCTCTCTTTCTTTTCATTATTAACATTTTATTTAAAATCGTAAGGCCATTTTTCCCCAATCTTCGTATGGGATATTCCTCGTTTAATTTTTTTAAATATACGTTTTGGTGACCTGGTAGTTTTTCGTGGTATTTTTTGCTCCTTTCTTTTATCATCTCATTAATAGTTTTTATTTTTAGGTCTTTATGTAGGGTCTCATTTGTAACATACCAGGGTGCGTTCATAATGCATCTTAAAATTTTCGATGCTTGTATTTTTTATATTTGAATTGCTTGCGCACGCCCATAGCTCAATGCCGTATGTCCAGATTGGGATAATTATCTTCTATATATATAAAAATAAGTCGGGTTTTTCTTTCTGACGAAATAACTCCAGAACGCACAAACCGATTTCGACAATTTTGCATTCGTTGGAAAGGTCTCGGGCTCCGCAAGGTTTATAGCTAAGAAAATTAGTTGTGCATGGCATCGTGCCCTAATGCAAATTGCTGGAACTTCATGCACCGTAATTAAAAATTCGAGTAATGACATTAGTGAGAATTATCAGAATTATGCTTGGTTAAGTCAACGAGCAATTCTTGCCACAAAGAATAATGATATACACGCACTGAATTTTACCATTCAATCAAAAATTGCTGGCGATTTGGTGACATACCAATGATTCCGACTGGTTTTCCGTTTGACTTCAAACGATTGCAATTTCCAGTTCGCCTTGCGTTCGCAATAACAAGTCGCAAGGACAATCGCTTAGTGTTTGCGAGATAAATTTCAAATAGATTATTTAGAAAATCATTGTTTCACATGGGCAGTTATACGAGTTGGAAAACCATCCGCTTTGTTTGTGTTAACGTCAGACCCAAAGAACAAAAATGTGGTTTACTAAAGAGCACTTCAATGAAACGCATAATTTGCGGATTCACTTTCATTTACTTAGAGAAGTTCAACTAAAAAACACTACATTTTTGTAATCGAAATAAATTTATTACTGTTGTGCAATAAAATCAAATTTTTCTTTTTCAAATATAAAACAAACAAAAAAATTTCTTCATCTTTCTCAAGAAACCATCTGGTGGCGAAACGGAGTTCGTCGGGTTTGCTAGTTGTTTTATATAAAAGGAGTTTGTTTTTATAGCACATATTTGAACTCCTGCCAATCAGCCAATACAACTCTTTGAACTTCTTCTCCATCTGTTTTCTTTTCATTCTGATGTGCGTTGACCAGCTTAACTTTCTATCGAGATGAATCTCAAGGTATTTTACACTCTCATATTTCGGTATTTCTATGTTGTTTATTTTTACGGCAAATGATAAAGCTTTGGTATCAAAACAATTAATTGAATTCATGTATCAATTACATTTAGGTCTCCTAATATTCCATCACCATCTTCCGAAACTCTTCTCGGGCGCCCAAAACGGACACCATCATCCGATGGTTCCGTATCACCACGTTCGAGCAGTTCTGCCGCCGTCAGGAGACGTGCAGAACTGGAACGAGCACAAAGAAGTCATCGGTCGTCCGAGGACGAAATGGACGACGACAGAGGTGCGACTATAGACGACAGAGATAGAGTGGCCGTTGTCGATCTTCAGAGAAGGTCATCGTCGTCTTCTTCAGGCGGCGAGGAGGAAGGCGCCAGGAAAAGGAGGAGGATGCTGAGGGCGCAAATTGCAGAGCAGGAGCCGGAGGCTAGGGTTCTGGTCGCTGAGTTGAATGAGGACTCTTTTGAGGTTAGTAGATGTAAAATTTCAATACCGGTATTTTGGTAATTTTTCATTTTAAAACCGGAATACCGGTAAATTACCGGTATTTTTATTATCTTAAACAAACGTAAACAAAATTGAAAGTTACTAGTACAAATATAAAAAAAAATGTATATACAACTACAACTATATTCAACTAAACAATAAAATAAAACAATAAGTTTATTTTTTTATATAATAATTTAACAAAATTATATCCAATTCAATTAATTCATTATCACTATCGAGTATATTGAGTACTTTTCACCAAAAACAAACTTATAAGTAAGAAAGACCAAAAACTCATAAAAGATCATATTACATTATTATAATAAACTGTATTGTCTGTATCCGATGTGTTAAATTAGCATAATCTCCAATATTTTAAAAAAATAATTGTTCTACACTAATTTAAGATCGGATTCTTTGTCGAGATAAATAATAAGTTACTATAATTGTTGAGTATTGTTATTTAAAACAATGTGATGCTTCTATAGTATTTTCAAACTTCGAAAGGTTGTCGAAAAATAATATTTTATAATTGTAATAAGAAGCAAAAATATTTCGTAATTATCATAATTATTATGTATAAAGTTAGAAAAAAATAAAGATTACGCAGGGGCAATCTGTATGAGATAAAATATTTTGGCGCAAATATCACTTAAAAAACCGTTACATTTTTACATAAGATGAAACAAACATCATTATCTACCAGTTTAATTTTATTTATTGTAACACGATATGAAGCCCTTAGTAAAGCAATAAATATTCAGTTTAATGACGAGTTAAAATATTTGACATTTGTTCATCCTATAGAATCACTTGAAGATATAGCTGTTTATGCGATTATGGAATTTAAAGATAATTTTTTTCCGAGAAATTTAAACTTTAGTATATTATGTATCAAATAGCGCTTATGTAAAAATACCGAAAATACCGGTATTTTTGGAGTAAATACCGGTAAAAATACCCTCCGAAAAATCGGGCGGTTTATCGGCAATTCGGTATACCGGTATACCTGTATTGCATTCCCTATTTGTGACTGTTGCGTTGAATATTGTAGATGTTTATGTGTTGTATGTTTTAGTTGGAGGAGTTTCCTTATGTTCCTACGACTTTACCGCAAGAACGTCCTGTGGCTGTTCCTATAGTACCCGTCAAGCAGCGGAGGAAAAATAATAAAACCACTTGCAAGTAAGTCAATTTGAAATGTCCAAAAGGCATATTTATTTGTAACTAGATGACCCGACAGACGTTGTCCTGTACCTATGTCTACAATTTGTTAATATAATATACTAATATTTACCGTTTACCTAAAAATAATAATTATTGTTTTTTAATTACTCTTCACGCCAAAATGCATATACATTTATAATATCAGCGATGTTAAATGTAGAACTGCTTTAAATAAAATGATGAGCCTCAATTCCAACACAATATTGAAAATTAAGGTCTTTTAAACAGTATAACATAACCATAACCATAACATAACACTGGTACTTCATGTTGGATTAAATTAGTTTAATTTTTTATTATTTAAGATATCCAAAAATGAATCTTAAACTTCTCCTAATCGATATCGTGAGAGCGGAATTGTATGTTTTCATCTTTACTTTCCCATTTGTTGTTATAAAGTGAAATTTTTACGAATTTTAAAAATATTGTGGAAAGATTAGTGAAAGATGCAAAGAAATTATATATTGAAAAAAAAAACTATATTGAAATTTAATATCCGAATCTTGTGCTGGCGCCCCCTAAGGCGTGCACTCGTATTTTTCGCATGTATCGCATTAAAGGTAGCACCGGCCCTGATTAATACTTGATTTCATATTTTGAGTGAATTACTTTGCCACAAATTCTTTCAATCCTACTTGGACAAAAGACAGTTCAGAACCAATGTTGCTACAGATTTATCCAGCTATCGATTCATAAAAGCCGGCGTCCCACAAGGCAGTTGCTTGGGCCCAACCCTTTATATTATTTTTACATACGATTTACCACAATCAATGCAATGTTAGATACAAAGAAGATGCAATTTTAGGTACATAGGTGATGACACAGTAATAGCAACATCCCATATAATTTCTGTAACAGCTAGCACAAAGCTACAGCACCATTTAAACAAAATAGAAGCATGGGCCCAGAAGTGGAGACTTAAAATTAATGAATCAAAGTCTTGCCAAGTCACTTTCACCCTAAAGAGAGACAAGTGTCCGGCAGTAAAATCAATGATAAAACGATACCTCAATCAGATACTATAAAGTATCTAGGATTGCACTTAGACAAAAAATTGAATTGAATTCCACAAATCAGCAACAAATGTAAACAGTTAGAGAGAAAAGTAAAATCCCTATATTGAATGTTAGGCCCAAAATCTAAATTGTCCCTCGATAATAAGGTGCTAATATACAGAACGGTGATTAAGCCGATATGGTGCTATGGGGATGAACCATAGACAAAACTCCCACTGGGGAGTTTCTTAAACAATTTTATTTTTACATATCATTATTTTATTTTTGTTTTGAACTCAAATACTGTATTTGAGTTACATATCACAATAGCTTACAGAATTGTAACTCGTTCTGATTTCTATTTAGAAAGTTAATAATAAAAAAATAATAATAATAATTTGTCATATCCTGTTCGTATGTGTATCATTCAATCTTCCATACATATACTGTATTTTATATTATTTTAATTTCT